TTCATGTTCAAAAAGCAACCAACCATCAAAGGTAGAACTATAAGAGATATGTGCTTACAAATCTCCAAACCATCCCTGAGATTCATTTTCATCCTAAAATGAGGTTTTAGAAAATCTAAAGCTAAATAAATAAAACCAATATTTCCCCAGAAGTTGAAGATAATAGTTCTCCGTTGGCCCATCTGCTTGCCATAAAATAACCCAAATGACCTAAGTACCTGTTATTTATTTCTTTATTCACAGATATTGAGTTGTTTAAAGAAATTCAGAGAACATATTTCTCTGCAAGGACAAAAAAAGCCATTAGTATATGCTATATACATATGAAGAAAAATCTCTGACTTCCAGAGCTTATTATTCAGTAAAATACAAAAATCTGAGACAAAACAAATCAATATTTAAGCAATTATTTCCATATACAATTCATGAAAAATCTGAGTATCACTTCGAAATCTTTTTCAAACTTATACTTGCAACATAAGTTGCATTAACCAAGTTTATGTTGTTTTTAATACTCAAAACTCTCCACGGACTTTTTTTACCTATAAATTTAGCAAGTGTATTAAAGTTTCCTGAGTATACAAATGAGTGTCCTTTCATCACAAGATTCTATCGCTTTATGCATTAATTAAAAGACTTTCTCAGCCATTTTACTAATATAACAAAGTGCAGACCTTAGAAAAGTATTAAGTTAACAGGAAAAGCTTTCTCACTCTCTTTTCCACTGAAGGGACCCCAAAAGACAGGCAACAGTGACTCTCATAAAATAAAAGGTCACTCTTTTTCTAGGAACAAACCATTTATCAATAGAAAATAATTGTCTTTCCATTTGCAAGGGCTCCACAGCAACAGACAATGTTTTTAGCTCACATAATTACAAAACAGTAAAAGTTCAGAAACACAGCCTGAATCCACCTCCCTATTTTTACCCTTTACAATTCTCATTGCCCTTTGGGCCTCCACTTGGAAGCAAATGGAAGACAGGCTGAAGTTTTCTCAATTGAGCTGAAGCTAAGAAACCTTTGATATGCTAATAGTCCCCTTCAAACGGTAAGAATTCACACTTGCATTAATTCAAACAATTTGTGCAGAATGATGTGAAATGGCACCTCTTTTAGAAGCAAGCAACAAAAGGAGAGAATCGGAATGTCTGAAGAAACTAAACAACAGAACATTTGTTCTGCAGCATTCTATCGTGCATAAACGTACTGGAGGGTGGAGGCGAGGGACTACAAAAAGTTCCACAACACACCTGAACAGAAGTATATTTTCTTATAAAGGGTTTCTCAAGTATTACAAAGATACTAAATTTAAGTTACAAAGTTACCCTTTACCTAGGTCAAGAGTCCCATCACAACTGGGAATGTTGCCAAAGACACCACACAAACCATTCTATTTTTCTGCTATGGAGGCAGATTGCCTCCTTGGTGCCCATCTTTTAAGGTCTGCCCAGGATCAAACTTGATTTAATAAAAGCCATCCCAACAGGCAATTATTTACCAAACGGATGTGACTTTTCCTCAGTATGTAACTCTTGAGTTGAGCAAAGAGCAAACTCGGTGGGGCCCGTTCCAGACACAAACATTGACAGGAAAATGAATGGGCCAACCATGTCCGTTAATGTACGCCTCTGAAAGAGAGAAGTACACATCGTGTAAAGAATGCAGAAGAAAATTTAAGAATTGGGGGCGGGGCGCGGAGGAGAGTGCCTAAGAACCTGGCCTTTGTAACGGGAACCATATGGTTGGTGGCTGCGGCTCAGACGCTCCCAGGCTGCTTGGAGAAGCTGCTAAGCAGCCTGACACCTTTCAAGAAACAGGAGGAAAACATTTCCTCGGTCTGAATCTGAGACAAAACAGTTTGCATCGGGAAGAACGGAATGAGGGGGCCAGCGAAGGGGGAAAGGATGGGTTGGGGGGAGGAGTCCGTAGAAGGTGGGGAAAGGAGATGGACACCGCAGGGCTTGTCCCTCCAACTATGCTTTCAGAGGACAGACTGAGGAGGGGATTAAAACAATATTTAGGGATAAAGAAAACCGTGCCTTAGCAGCCACTCATTGCCGCCTTGGCACAAAATAAAGCTTCCAACGATTTCTCCTAACCCAAGCCCCGTAGTTTGGCGAAAGGAACAAACTTTCTAGATCCCTAGCGAAGGAGTCTTGCAGGAGTGCCTCCCCAGTGCTGAGGCGCTTCTGTCTCTCCCCTCGCCCTCGCCTGTCCGCAGGAGAGCCGGGTGGCCCCAGCCAAGCAAAGAGCCCACGCTCGTTTAAGCGCGCTAAGAGTTGGGGGGGGGGGGTCCTCCCTTGCCTCGCGGCCCTCCCACGCCTTTTCCCCCTCAGCTCCACACCCGGCACCCTGGTCCCACAAACCAGGCTTCCAGAAGTTCGCAGCCCCTGCGCCAAGCCCAGAAGCCCACACCCCGTAACTTCGGCCGCAGGCCCAGCGCAGCCCGCTGCTGCCCTCTCACTGCGGGTGCGGGAGGCACTTGGCCTCCCTGGGGCCCGCCGGGTGCTCGGCCCCGCCGCCCGCCCGGCCCCGCCGCCCTTAATCGTTGCCAGCCCCCGTGCCGGCCTGGCCACATCTGGCGGCGCTTTGCTGTCATCCTCGCCTCTCCACACCACCTAACCACCGACAGAAAGCAACAACCACCCACAACAACTCAGCTCATCGGCCCCTCACCCCCCCGCCCACTTGCCCAGAACTCGCTCCCAGCGCTCGGCCTCCCGGCTCCACTCACAGCCCCGGACGGATCTGCAAGTAGGAGGGGCTGGGGGGGACAGGGGCGAGCTCCCCGCCGGGCCTCCGGCGGGGAGCGCGCCCCACTTTCTGCCTCCCCAGATAGGCTGTGAAAGAGCGAACAGCACCTTCTGACCCAGACTCTCAGTAAATCAAAAAACACTCCCCTGTCCCCCCCGGGGCCCCCTGCAACTAGGCTGTAACCAAGAGGACTTCACGACACTGGCAGGGCGAAGCGGCAGCAGGCTCGACAGGAAGGGGAGTTCTGCGGATTGATTTCCGAGGAGGGGGAGGTGGGGTGGGAGCGAGTGGCCCGAGCCCGCGCCGTTCTCCCTCTTGGCCCCGCCGAACTTTTAACAGCGGAGCCCCAACTCACCTTCGGCTCCCTACACCTCCAGCATCCACCCCCGTGCGGAAGGCGCAAAGCAAACAGGTCTCCGCAGCCCTGCACAGAGGCACATTGTTCCCGCGGCTCTTACCTCGGTCTGCGAGCGCGCCCCGGGGGCGGGCCGTCTGGCGCAGGGGCCGCGCGGGGAGAGGCGCAGAGGGCTGCGGCCACCCGGGCCGGCGAGGGCCGAGGCCGGCCGCCGAGTCCGCGCGGGAGGCAGCGCCGCGACTCGCCGGCCGGACACAGCGCCGCGGCTCGGCTCGTCCTCCTGCTTGGCCGCCGCCGCCGCCGCCGCCTCCTCCTCCTCCTCCAGCCAAGCAGCCAGCGCCGGGCGGCTCCTGGGGTTAGGTCAACATTTTCCTGCAGTTTCCCACACACCGCTCCACGAGAGGCGTCTTTGGCACACGCGCGCGCGCGCCCCCAGACCGCACGCTCCTTCAGAAAGATCAGAAATTCGGGAAGCGGAGGGAAAGGGGTGACGGAGGAAGGAACCCGACAGAGGTGCGCAGACTTGAGTGTCCCCTCAGAGAGGCAGACGCGGGAGGGGCGAGCAGACGCCGGCGGCGCGAGGCCAACTCAGTTCGTCAGGCGAAGCCACTCAGCCCGCCGTCCGCGCCGGCCGGGCTGGCATCCCTCGAGCCGACCCTGCGGCCTGGGGAGGGAGACGGCAGCGGCCCCTCCTCACATTTCGGGTCCCTGGGCCGAGGTGGAACGGTGACCGCTGCCCCCCCAAGACTGGCTGAAGGCGAGGACTGGGGCTTGGGGAAGCGGGGAGGTGTAGGGACGAGTCACGCCAGCAACGGAGGGGAGGTTCCCCCCCGCCCCCCGACTCCGACGATCCCGAGGAATTCTCCGGTAAGCTCCCGATTTCGCTCCGGTACCTCTGCGTGTGTGTGTGTGTGAGGGGAGAGAGAGTGAGAGGGAGAGAGGGAGCGAGAGGGAGCGAGACGGGGGAGCGCGAAGTCCTGACACAGACTCTCCGCGAGGTCTGAACTGGAGTCACCTCCAGCGTCCTCCTCCTCCTCCTCGGCCTCCTCCTCCTCCGCCCCAAATCCCCACCTCCCCACCCCCGCGAGTTCGGCTAATCATATAAACATATTAGCGTGTACAGCGACAAAGGATAAATCTCTCCCTCCTGATTTTTCCAGCAAAGGGCTCAGGCAAACTCAAAAGAAGATTACAGGCTGCTAAGTACAAAACGTGGAGCAGATAATCTATAACTCATTGCCGCCCAATAGCCATTTTCCACTCCATTTGAGCAGCTGCGGCGACGGTGCACCCGAGCAAGGGGGAGGGGAGCGAAAGGGGACACTTACGGGCTCGAGAGGTTCGGGTGGCGGCGGCGGTGGCCCAGCAGCCGCCCGAGAACTGGCCGGCCCCGGCTCCGCCGGCCCGGCGGCCGCAGGGCTCTCCGGGCGGCGGCGGCGGCGAGGGACGCGCGCGCACGGACGCGGAACGCGCCCCGGAGGCGGCCAGGGGTGGCTAGCGCCCCTCCTTTCCCCTCCCCGTCGACTCGCCCTCCCCTCGGTCCCGGGGCTCCGCATTCAGTCCACCCCCCACCGCCCCTCCGCATCCACACACCCATTCCCTGCCGATCCCCCACCTCCCCAAACTCCACTCACTGCGCGCTCGATCCTCCGCGCGCTCCTCCGGCGCGCGCTGTCCATCCTGTCTACACACACGCACTTTAAAAACATTTATTTTATTTCTGGAACGGGGTGAAAAGTATTTGGGAGACCGCGAAGCTCCGGCCTCCGAGGCGGGGCGCCGGGGGCTGGCCTGCAGCTCAGGGGTCCCCTCCCCTCTTCCCTCCAGGCTCGGGAGCTCTTTTCTTGCCTGCACTTCTGAGAGGCGCCCAGGATGCGTCTTTTACCCACCCCGTCTCCAGGTTTTCTCTTTTCTCCGCGCAGCGAGCCGGAGGCCCCGAAACTTTTAGTTTCCGCGGCCCTCCTTTTGTGTGACTGTTCGGAGGAGAAAGAACGTCTGTTCGCCTCGCCTGCCTCCGTCCGGCTGCGGCGCGCGGGGGACGCTCCAGGGTTAATGCGTCTTTGATACCTGAGATTTCCGGCGGGCTTGTTAATGAAAGTTACTTTTTTTTTTTAATTGCGATGACTTTTTCTTTGTAGTTACGGAGAGCTAGCCAAACTTTGACTTTATTGACTATATTTCACAAGAGCGTTTTGTTTGTTTTTGATTAAAGCCACCAGGATAAGCAAAGGAAGGAAAGGAGACTACAGGGCTCTTTTCTCGCAAGTGCACTCATCGCGCTATTTAGGTCTGTTTCCCTCATTTCCTTACATTGAAACTGCGTTTGCTCTTGTCCTCTGACCACACTTCCTTGCACCTCTCTGTTGGTAGTGTCAGCAAACAGCCAGGCAGCACCTACGATGGACCCAACCTGAAGAGAAGAGACCACGACGGAGAAAATCGTGCTTGAAAAATGTTTGAAACCTAGTTGTGTCCTTTGCTTACGAATAAAAACAAGCCTGGATTTTTTAATTACAAAATTTCTGAACTGAAAGTGACTACATTTTCAGATGTATTTCGAAATCACTGTTTATGCTAATGAATGCAGACATCAATTAAAGAAGTATGTTTGCATTGGTTTTCAGGAAAAACTGATATTCCAAGATTTAAAAACCTCTAGAAAATAGAATGAAACTTGAGATTCTTTGCTTTCAGAAACAATATATACTGTTTGTTGCTGTGGGTATGCTGCAGTCATCATACTTCAGAAATCATTTCAAATAACAGTGTTATTAAAATGTCAACAGCAGATTTTCCGAAAGACATGAAGACTCTAACTACCTCTATTTTGTCACAAAGCCAGATGTTTGTTGTACTAGAGTAAATACAACTATTGGTCAAGTTTCTCTCAACTTGTAAAAAATCAAGTTAAAAGTACATATGTGTAAAATAACTGAAACATGCTCTGTTGGTTGATTCCATTTTAATTTTCTCAGATTCAAACAAGAATCCTTGATGATCAGGTTTTTTTCTACTCAATGTATTGCTGTTTTAATATTCTCACCAATATTAAAGATAAGAGGAGCCACTTTGAGCACTGGTGCTTTAAACTACATAAACACTTCCATTTGCATAACACAATTCAAATATTATTGATGCAGGATATAAACAAGGCTAGGAACAAAACACAGTTATGTAGAACTAGTGTGAAACCTTATTTCGTTTTTACGTCTGTCAGAATTTAGCCAAAAAGAAGGTAAAGTTACAGAACTCTCAGACCTCAGAGGTCATTTATATCATGGTCTCCTTTTAGAACTTAAAATTATTTTATTCACGATTATAAACCAAAATATTTCAAACAGATTAAGATTTGCATTTACTGAAAAATTTTAGCCCTTTCTTTTGTTCATCTTTGAAGATTTTTCATTTATCCAGGCGTGATTCCCAGTGAGTGCATAGATCAGTCTAATCCTATTTTCTTTGGGGACGCAAAACTTGGACTGAAGTTTTTATTTAGTAAGTTTAGTAAGTAATCAGTAGAAAATTTTGCCTGATTTAAGCTGCCCATATGTTTGCCCATTTACTTATTTATTTAACTCTCTCAGAAAGAATCTCAGGAAGAACTCACTGTCTACATTTCTTAGGTCTGACGTACTTTGATGTTCAGGACATAAGTGAGTCACTCTCCACTGTTCCTGAAGAGACTATAAAAAAAGGAGGATGCATGGGAGGGGGAAGACATTGTCAGAAGTGGGTTAAAACTATAGGGAGTGGGAAATGCCTCATACAGGTTTTTAATTTTAATTCAATAGGATATGTATTTTATAGAGTTCAAAGAGTTCAGTGCTTTTTTTCCTAAGAATATAATAAGCTTGGTGTTTTTAAAATTATATCTAAATGTATTCATTCTCTAGGAGGTAATGTTTTAAATATTAAGGAATTTTTAATTCTTTCCTTACACTTCACACATAATAATGCTTCATCGTTCTCTGTATTCACAAAGGATTGAAACAGAGCTTTTTAATTGCATTGATATATTCAAGATTAAGCTGTTAGCCACAAACCTGCATTACAAAGGAACACTTAAATGACACACACACATATCCAGACAACATAATTTGCCTGACACTTCATGACAATTCAAAACATAATTTATAACAATACAGGTGTTGTGGTAGGGAAAAAAAATGAAATGAGAAGCTTAATAATGTCTGCAGATGTTAGCAAGCTAAGGAGAGTTGGAGTATGTTATGCATTCCCTGCAATCCAATCAATTTAACTCTTCAACCTATATTATTCTTTAAGTAATGGCAAAATCATTGACTTATTCATAATACTTGCTAATTGTTTTTAAAAATAAATTCTACAAAGGACAAAGGAAACACCCATTTCCATTTGTTTTATGTTAAATCAACATCTAACCACTCATGGTGATTTCATTCAAAGAAAACAGAAGGAACTCATTAGTTTATGTGGTTTGAGAGATTGATGGGCTTCAAACATTTTAACCATACATGTTTTTTCCAACTGTAGAAACTCGTGTTTTTAATTTAAACATCTTTAAGAAACTAAAGATTATTTTATTCAATGGGTTCACATATTTCTGATACAGAAATTACACTAACTTTTAAAGCTATTTACCATCCAGGCATCTTTCTTTAGAGCAAAGTGATGAGGTACATGTCAAAATACAAGTGTGAATACCAATAGTATAAGTACCAATTTACAGAATCTGAAAAAGTATGAAAATGGGCAGGGTTGCAAAATATTGTGCTTAGTCTAAGCCAGCACAACACTAGGAGTAACTTGTTCAACGCCCAACCCCAACGAAATTGGATATAGGTAAGCCAATTCTAAAAGGGGACACAGAGGAAGACTGGGGTGGAACAGGGAGAAGATCCAGATCTTGATAGTGGGCCAAAACTTATGTGAAGTTTGAGCTACACTCTGTAGAGACCAATGAGACTAGATTGTATTCATTATTTTTGCCTGTGATGAGAGAGCTCTGTGAGAGTTCTAAAATTAAGCAAAAAACAGGTGAAACTGGTCTAGTTTCTAACACAGAAATAGAAATAAAATTAGCTAGATTTCATTCTAAACTGTTTTCCCTTTTCTTCATTGTCACTGCTCAGTGATGCTTATTGCTGAAACTAGTTTTCCCTACTCTAGAAAATAAATCTTTTAAAGCTCTAGAGCAAATCAAAGCAATATATAAATACCCAAACTAAACTAGAGCTCGTGTAAAGTTCCTAGCTTTGTTTTTCATCTTAACTTTGCCATGCATATAGGCTGAAAAGAAATCAAAACTCATTTTCCATGAAAGCAGAAACATATGAAAGCACTTGCCAAAGCCAATAAGCTTTTAACTCTTCTCCCGGTTCTCTCCAGGCTGAGTAAATCTTGGTCCAAGAGGGACGAACCCTATCTAAAATGTAGAGATGCAGTCTCCAAAGTTTTGGAGTTTCATCTGTATTATAAATGTGATTCTGGTGTACTGTGCTTAATGATATTATTTAGAAGTATATAATCACACACATTATTAAATATATATCATTTTGTAATTGTTGTTATTGCTTCCTTGCTAAGTGGTGTCTGACTCTTTGCTACCCCATGAACTGTAGCCCTCCAAGTTCTTTTGTTCATGAGATTTCCCAGGCAAGAATCCTGGAGTCAGTTACCGTTTCCTTTTCCAGGGGGTCTTCCTGACCCAAGTATCGAACCCATGTCTCCTGCGTTGGCAGGCAGATTCTTTACCACTGAGCCACCAGGGAAAACCCATCTTTAAATATCTACTAAAATAACTGGTAACTTGACTCTTTCTGTGTACCTAAAATATTTATATATGTCTGACTGTGTATAAAAGGTTATACCTTTTTTTTTTACCATTATAATACTCAAAAGTAAGCAAGTTAAAAAAGATACCCCTCATAATCATTGCTGCACTGAGTTTTACAAAACTCACCAAGTTAATCTTTCTTTCCATAGATTATTCTCATAACTATTGGGTAATCTCCGCACCTTGAGGATTTTCTACAATCATATCCTATAGATCTTCTATAAATGTGTCTGTCAAACCAGGAAGTGTAAGTATAAGAACACTCTCTTTACAGAAAGCTGCCTATGACTTCTTATAATATTTTTTATCATAAATTCTCATCCCTTTTCTATATATTCAAACCTCTGTCAACAATACAGATGAAACTTCTTTAAATTTATTGAAAAATTCTAAAATTAAAAGTAACCTAAAATCACAACTCTTTGTTTTAAATATAAAGCGTATAAATATAAAGTGGGCAGTTCTTAGTAAAGCAGTATGCATCAGATGAGAACAATAGTAAGGCAGTGGTTAATAGTCCTCCACTTTGATTGAATCTAAACCCTCAAAGATAACCAAATAGCAATTCACAGAAGTCTAAATTGAATTTTTAGTGCCTCTGAGAATATGACTTTGATTACTCATGTCATAGTTCATTGTATTTTAGTATGGCAAAACTTGCAAAATGCTTTTAAGAGTCAGGAAACAAACTCACAAATGCCCTCTTTGCATTTGAGAAAGTGAGTCAAAAATATAATTATATAAAACTTATAATATTTCATATTAGAACACATTAAAGTTATCTTAATGATACAGCATAAAATAATAATTGAAATATGTCATTTTAGTATTTTTTAAACACAAAATTGTTTTGTTTCGGCTTTGAAAATATTTGAAATTGTTTTGTTTCGGCTTTGAAAATATTTGATCATCTACAATTATGTAACAGGAAATGTTTGACCTGGAATTTTTTATTTTTCTGATCATATATATTAACTGTTACTAACATTGTTCATTATTGGGTTCTCTAATCAATATGGTGGTGTTTTTTTTTTAACTCAACTTATCTTTTTTATTTTAAAAAGACCTTTATTTGTTGTATATATATATATATGTATTTGTTTAATTTTATTTATTTATTTGCTGCTCTGGGTCTTAGTTGTAGCATGTGGGATCTACCTCCCTGACCAGGGATGGAACCCGGGCCCCCTGCACTAGGAGCTCAGAGTGTTAGCCCCTGGACCACCAGAGAAGTCCCTATTTGTTGTATATATTTTAATGAAAATAAGTTTGAGCATATGGAAACTAGAACAGCTATTTGCAAAGGCTTTTCTTCTCA